TTTCACGCGCCGAACCGAATGGTCCGCTGAAACAAACACGTTCGAGAGCACTTCGAGACAAAGGGTCACAAACATTTGTTTTCATTTCACTTTTGGTCTATCGAACAACGCAATAATGCTTATTACTTTGAACAATTACTGGGTTTAGCAATATCTACCAATATGGACGTTTTTACACATTTTTATGAAAACTATGGTGAGAAATTCTCTTTATAAAAAGCGTGAAATAACCGCAGACCACGCGGTAGCAAAAACAAAAGGGGAAGGATAACTATGCCCATAGTTTTTATTCCCATTATTCGGCGATTAGAAGCGATGCAATAATACTTTAAGAGGGGAAATTACGGCCTCGGAGCGATAAAACAGACCGCGATGAGAACGAATATTCATTCTGGTTAAGGAAGGAAATTACAATCGCGAAGGGATAAAATGGGTACGGATGAGAACGAATACGACCTCGAAGGAAATTGTTCTCTGGACGTTTGAAATACAAATGTTTTACTGTCGAGGAACATGAGAAGCCCTGACGCCTTCGTCTGTATCGTGAAAAATGTGATTCGGTGTCATCAGTCAAATTGATACAATACGATATCTTCAAAATTTAACATGAATTAACTAGTCGAACTACTTTACACTTTATAAGAAAATTTGATTTCATTTTGAAACTATATTGCTATTCATGGAGCCGCTGTAAATGCAATATGCACGGTTCTGTCGTCTGCATTCAACAACTTCTGGTCCAGCATAATTTGATCTGGGATCTACATAAATTTACCAACCACGGTAGGAATGGATCGCGCAAATTGCGTTTTTTCTAATAACAAGTTTGAACGTGCAATTGTGTTTCTTCGAAAGGGAGGGCACTAAAGTACGAAGCGACGAATAAAACGATCTCAATTATCGTTTTTTGGTAGGTCACGACAGAAAAAAAATAATAATATCCCATATAAAAGGACAAAATACAACATTGTGCACATGTTTTTCAATCGATATCTATATAAGAATAACTTAATTTTAAAAACTGAAAACAAGTCTCCTCCTTCACAGAAATGTTTTATTTTAATAAAAATCTGCGAGCTTGGAGTTTCGTTGAAGTTCCACGATGGAGAACTTCGTTCGCCAACTTTTTCACGCTCGAACAAAATAAATTTTTTATCGCAGGGAAAAAGGGTTTGCGCAGCCTATTGGAAGAAACTCTTCCAATTGCATTGCAAAAACAAGCAAAACAGGACGTGTAATCTTCGGAACTGTGGCCACGCTTAAACGAAAAACCACTTTTCAGATTCTTAAATTGCCTTCAACGAGACGATTGTACGAAATTCCAAACCCGTTGGCTCGAAGAAAGCCGATGAAAATCGCAGGTGCGCGCTTTCAACTTAAAAGCAATCGCGTCAAAAGGAGCCTCCCCCGTCCATGGTGATAATTCCCAGTTAAGACGTCATCAGTTAAAACGTCGGGTACTTATTTACAGCGAAACGTAATATTCGTGCAACGGTTTATTTGCATAATCAAAAAAGTGCGGGACGAGAAAAGCCTTCAAAAGACGTTCCTAAATAGGAAAAGCAATCTCCTGTGGGTTGCCTCCGATGCTACGTTATTAACGCACCCGCCTTACCCTCCAACCACACTCTTAAGATTTAAAAATGTTCGGTGAGGCTTGTTCGCAACTGGACGTCGAACATCCAATTCCAATTTAAAATCATTTACAAAGAACGCTCATCGTTAATTGAAAGTTGGTCGCTTTCGATCTTAATGTGATTCTGCATAATAATATTACATTGATTTCTGATAATATATATGGAATATTTGAGATACACCCCTGGGAAAAATTTTAATGGGGGATTCTAGAGGCCAAAATAAGACGAAAATCAAGGATACTAATTTGTTGATTGAGGCTTCATTAACTTTAAAGAACTTTAACTTCTAGTCGTATTCATTAAACAAACTGTTGTCAAAATGTGAAAGAACGATTTATTAATTCTTTCTTAAAAGAAGCTTGCATAACAGTTAGAAATAACACCACAAGTTTCCACTCTATTAAATGAAACGGTCAAGATTAAAAACGAGAGAAAGTGGATTCAACGCGAATGATAGCCATCCGATCGAATTATCGCATGGCAATGCCAGACCTCATGTGGCGAGATTAACCAAGAACGTGTTGTTGAAACATGACTGAGATGATTTACCCCACTCGGTGCATTCAACGGACCTAGCGCCTTCTGACTACTACTTGCTCCGATCGATGCAAACTTGTATAATAAATATTAATTTCATAAGTCTCCGCGTATTTAACTACACGAACCGTTGACTCCACGTAAACATGCATAAACATACTCTAACAAAATATCACAAGCGGTGCATCGACTTTTTATACTCGGTCTTCCATTGCCTGAAGTGAATTTGAAGAATATAATGGATCATTTCTAATTAAACACGAACATAAAGTAAATCTACGTTTGACACACTGCTTTTTGAATTTGATTCAGGAAAATTTATCAACGCGGGCTGTTTTTCAAAAGAAAAAAAAAATGAGGTGATTTATATGAGGCATGATAAAGAAGACAGCATTATTTTCTCACGACAATGCATTATGCGGACGACAGTGAAAATTCATGAAATCGGATTTGAATTGGTAACGGCGTGTCCTATTTTCCCATAACATGCCTTCGACAGAATTTTCTATGTTCCTTGGGTTGAAAGAATTCTTGGCTAAACGTAAACCTCCATTAAATAAAGAAGTGACAGGTACAGAGGGAAACTATTTTGTACATCTCGAGGAATCGGATTCCGATTCTTCGAATAGGAATTTTATAAAATATTCGCGAGATAAACATGGGAAACCACGTTTAATGACGAAACTAATAAAAATAAAAGTAAATAGAGGAATGTACAATTCGCAGGAGATATTCTTAAACATATATGCGTGCCTTGGAATATTTAGAAATTAAATAAAAAACGTTTTTATTGGACGACTAGTGAAAGAAACGCTATAAGGAAATTCTATAATAGTTCGATATATATCTGATACGAAATAGAGAAATATTAAGACCAACAATTTCTGCTTTTCATTAAATTGATGAAAGCATTTTAGTATTTTTAGCAGGGACCTCGAACATCGAAACATAAATTATCCGATATTGATTATCGCACGCTCATAATTAATCCCAACTCTGCTTTCCAAATATTTGTACGACTGTTCTAACTCTGTTTTCATATGGAATATATTCCTACGAATTAACATCCACTTTAGAGTCTTAATTCCATTTTGTATTTGCATTTCAAATAAAATTTAATCTTCGATAAAGTTCATTTATTGTTAAGCTTCTTTAAGCATCTAACCAATAATTAAATAACATTTCTCAAAATATCTGATAGCTACAATTAAATCAATTCAGAGATATTCTCCCAAATACGTTCAGTTTTTAAGTTTTTTAAATCTTGTAACATGAAAGTTACACAAGATTGACAAATATCGTGGATTTAGTCGGTATCGTAAATATAAGTTGGGATTTTTGTTTCTCTCAGACAAAATAACTCACTCCTAAAGAAATTAATGCACAGTTTCAAGTTCGAAATACAGGCGATTGCAAAAAGTAAACTGCACCTCGAGTTCGCATTGTGACTCGACAGAAATTGAGTTTCGGGTTCTGCGTTGCCCGATAAGAAGCTCTTTTCGATTAACCAGAAACATAGAAACTTTACGCGAAATCCACTCCGTTGTTTCGTTTTATCTCGAGTTATCAATCATTCCAGCGAACTTTTACGTGTCTCGTGCTTTCTTTCTGGACGCGAAAGAAGATGAAAGCTAAACATTTACTTGCAGTACGTGAGAGGTGGATATAACTTTTCAAAGTTTTACGCCCTTTAACGCAAGATTTACTAAAGTTATTATCAGATACAACCTTGATTCATCACTCAAATTTAGACAATTGTAATCACGATAAATTATGTATACCGTGGTAAAAATATGATATTATAGAAATGTGAATGCAGCGAAAGTACACTAAAGAAAAATTTTTTTAAATTTATGTCCGACAATATTTAAAATATTACGATGTATTGCAAAAATGATGGTTTCGATTTTTCCCCCAAACACGTTCAACAACCCCAAATTAGTGGCACAGGGGAAAACTAACTAACCGAACATATATCGAACACTGTCAAACGTCAGCGCCAAAACAGAATTTATGTCCTTATAAAATACAAATAATTCATGGTCAGTGGACACTCAGTGTGAAAAATCAAACTCGTATTTATCCCTACTTCTACAATAGAACACTGTGATCAAAAATCGCGTTGTTTCTATCGTATTGTAAAGAAATATTTGCAAAAATCTTATATCTGTTTAATAACCCGAAAAGAGTTTCTCATAAAATTGTTTCTCATTACATATTTGCAACTGAACCTATTACTGTACGTATGACAAGTGTAATTATTAAAAATATATAAATATGAATGGGCAAAACAAAGTAAAAAGTTATTTTTTAAATATTTTTCTACAAAATTTCCACGTCATGTTCAACACGATAGATTGTTATGGCGTGAAAAAAAAACCAAACGCTGTGACAGGAAAATTTCATTATTTTTCAAATTTTCGATCACATCGCGAATATAGTTACCTGCCCGAACACAATTTTATTTTTTAAAACCAATGATGAGAACCATCACACTTACAACAATGTTACATACACAATAACTTTTAATCCAAATAAAAGCATTTTCGCCTCGAACAAATCTAATAAATGAAAACACCGTGATTATTTTCTGAAACTCTACGACCACGACGATGGCCAAGAGAAAGAAATACTAATCGGAACTTTTTAAAAACGTCACAAATTATTAACATTTATTACAAAATCGCTCTACGGTTATTATCCATGAAAAATCAAAGTAAGCACTATAATAGAAATCGACGTTAAAAGCACGCATTGTTTTGGCGTAAACGAGTACAGTTCGAATTGCGTCGTATCTTAAAAAGATCGCGCGTTTTCGATACTCACGTCAGCCGATGGGCCGAGCCGGAACGTTCGAAATAAACTCTTTGCAACTCGATGAAACTACGATCACCAATAATGAAAACACGCTGTTTTCGTATTCACGTACAACTCACACGTAAACAATGGACGTTCGGTTAACAATAAACGCACGAAACGATCGCGAGAGTCGCTGTTTTTCACGATCGGACCGACCACGACAGATTGACGAACAGAAACAACACATACAGTACGGCGCGCGCGGAGCGACTAAACCTGTTCCGAGTCGCAGAGTCGCTGCAGGCCAGCCGACTTTAGCCGAATCGGCCGAAGGGCTTCGCTCGTGCGAGATCGTAAGGATTCAGCCGCGACCACGTTGCAAAACCACGTTTACTTTACAGGCCCGCGAAATATTGTGCCAACGACGTTGTGCATAATGTTGTGATAACTATAGCTCGATGACAACACCTTTCAATGCGAATGTGAATGGTACTTTCAACGTTCTGCAGCCACCTTCGATATTCGAGCGATTGTCAACGAGTGCGGTGGCGCGTACATCAAACGTTGACGTTTATCGTTAAGGTTCGCAGGAAACGACACTTCTGCAATTTTCTAGCAGGCCCTGGATTCAGATTTCTATCTATCTATTTCAGAGTCGTGAATTTATTGGCCTCTAATAACAATACTAAACGAACTTGCAAAATAGTCAAATTCAGATCTGTGTCAAAATTTTTTATTTGTATATATGTGGAGGATCTGGCTAGCCAAATGCCACAATGTATTGTTTTGTGCCCACTGATTTGTGACTACGTTTTCACGGTTTCTAACTTCAAGTTTATAACGTCGATGTTATATCTCTTACTTAAGCGAGTACGTGTTTACACGTTTAGGTGTAGGTGTATGGAAGTTGAAATAGCGTAACAACTTTCGACCAAAGTGACGCAGAATTTCCTGTAGAAATTAAATACTCGGTTGTGGTGAAGTTGCGATCCGAACGTTTAATTTATCCGGGAGATTAATTATGAATTCAGAAACTATTTCCATGTTCCTGTTCGAAACATAGTCATGTAATAAACATCGCATATCCAAAATACTCTGAATAAACATGAAAAGTTGTATTGTTAAATTTTTCACTCTCAAAAAAGGACTTTAAATTATATAATTAAAATCTTTCCTCGTATAACAAATCTCTTTGAGTTATGCTGATATTGGCCTTAAAATTAAATACAAAGTAACTCTTTTCAGTGTATTAACTATGCTGAAATGTAAGTACCCTTATCTGTTTCAGAACAGTTCATAATTATTCGCTTTCACATGTTTGGTTACATAAAAAATTACCGAAAAGAGAAATTTGCACTATTAGAAACGATCAAGTTTCACTTGATCATACGCACTGCGTGGCAATGCTAAGTTAAAAGATTGCAACGTGTGTTTGTACAGTATGCCTAAAAAATAACTGAATTTAACAATAGTAATTGAATCTGACTTAGCCAAGCAGATCCATTCAAACTCGAAGATAATTTTGTTAAAACGTACGACTTGGACTTTAGCATAAGTAGAAACAGTCAGTCGGCGACAGACATGCCAGATCGACTCGTATTCGATCTTCAATTTTCAAATTCAATTATCACAAAAACGAAGCCTCAAATGAAATGATTATCCCTGACTTTTTATTTGGTTTTTCATGTAGCATCACCCCCTGTATATACATATATATTATATATATAGGGTGGAGTATTCAAGACAAGTCAGCCGGATAACTCGTTTACTTTTAAAGATAGAAAAGAGTGTTTCAGGCAGCAGTTGATTGATTTCATGGCAGACATAGAGCGGAGACGTTTTTTTTGGTTCTGGATGGAAACGCCAAGGACATTTAAAGGTCATTAATTTTTCTTCTTTTCTGATAACCGAGGAAGATATGAAAGACCGTGCAAGAAAAACATGTGGACGAAGATAAAACCAGGGATACAATATTTTATCAATTATACGGCTTTTTTATGTAAAAAATATTCTATTTATACGTTACGTTTTGTAAAAAAATACTTGAAAGGCAAATATAGTGGCAACTTTCAATGTTAGCCACTAATGTATTTCAAAAGTCATATTTCTCTCTGTACTCGAGAAGATATTTAAAAATAAATGGACTTGCAAATTGAAAAGAAATATTTCCATTTATAATAGTCTTCCACCGTAATTGCGTTGTGACTGTTTAAATTGGATTATTGCAATTGGTACCACTCTACTCTGTTCTCCAATTATTTCAGTGTCATTGATCCGCCATCGTCAGTGTTTAAGTTCAAGGCACTATTGACCGAAGATGTCCTCAAGTTTATGAGGTCACGTCGAAAGGAGGACTGGAATTCATTGGCTCTCGTTGGAATGTGGTAAAGGCCGGAATGAAGGTCGAATAAGCCTCTCAACCGGTTGTCACAATCTCCACCTAGTCGTGTTCCGAATCTAATGGAGTCGGTAACTACATGTAAAATTTCTACATTTTCCAACGACGACAAATTTATACAAAATCGTGCAAAGAATATCGTCGAAGAAAATAAGGATAGAGACCTTCGCCTATACAAATTAATTAATTAAGAAAAAACTGTACTAATGATATCCAAAATTCCCAGCAGACGCTCGTCTTTAACTTTTAATTTCAAAGTTCGGTACCTCTTTCATTCAACCATTAATAATTCATGATTTTTTACCAACTTCCGTGAAACCCGTCTCAATGGAATTTTTTTAAGCAGTTATCGGTATTCTCTCAAAACTGATTATTTTCTTAATGCTGAAACTTCATCACATTATTGGGAACCTCTTAAGTAGACACGATTATAAGTTGAAATGAAAGTTTCTTGAAAGAAATGGAATCGAAAGCATTCTGCGCCAGTATCGACCCACTAATACTTCAAATTTCTAAAGTGCTTTTAAACTTATTATTTTATTATTATTAACTTATTATTACGGCTGACCAAAACGAACTGAATTTTGGGTTTTAAATTTCGATGAAAATGTTTAATCGCGTCGTTCCCTAGGTATTTATACTTTCATATTCATATGATATCAAAAAATACGTTTACATATTTTCAATGGATTACATCGAAACATTTCAACCAAACCCGTTTTCAGCTCGTCTTTTGTTTACACGCAAATGCATTTTCTCTATTTACACGCCGCTTAAATGGAAAGTAAAACAGAATTAGCTTCGCGTTTCACGTGTTGAACAAACAGATTCGGAGATAATGGCATGAAAATATTAAAATGGCAATTTGTACTACGGCGGGAGCAGTAGCTAAAAGATTAATTCCATTCGTTAGAGGTATTATATTAATGCGAAACAAAGTAAATACACGAATAAATGTAAATCCAAGAATGTAGGAAATTAAACGCTATTTGTTGTCGTTTTGCGTCAGAGGAGCCTTAAAAAATTTATCTCGATCAATCGGTTATGCAAACGAGCGCGAACTCTGTAGGGTCGGCTTGAATTGGAACCTCCCTTGCGAATCGGCATGAAAACACTTCGTCGAATACAACGAACTGTCAAGCGAAGCACGTATGTTCCCTAATTACACGCGCGGGACGTGTGCGTACACCATTTCGAACAGGTCCGAGGCTGGTACATCGGTTCGTTACGCATCGGATCGAACTACAATTTACGTAGTCATTCGGCGTGTACCAGCACGCTTGCACGCGTTAATCGTGACTTATTTCAATTCTTCAATTGTCCTCGCGCCAACGCTTGCAAACCTGTTTAATTCCCGTCCAGCCCTTTGGAACGATTCCGCTCAAAGGGTCCGGATTGAAAAAGGAATAATCGGACTTTCAATCAAAATTTTTTTACGCGGACGTCGAGAGTTTGGAATTTCGTTTTAATATACTATCTAATAGAGCGAATGAAATTCACTGAAATGAAGTTCAATGAAATTTTATATTTTTTCTTTCAAAAATTTGTCTCGTTTCGAAAGGGCGAAGAAATAGAATCGTTTTATGAATTCTTTACGCGTTTTCCCATTTTTTGTTTCGATCTTTCGAGTGCACCATTTGCCCCGGTAAATAATTCGTACTTTCTTTCCGGAACTTGAATTTCACGAGCATCGTCAAGAAGCACTTTGCGTATCTGTCGTATCGTTCAAGATTTATACGCAACATTTCGCATAATTCCTATTCGAAGAGCTCCTTCTGTTAGATTCAACACAAGAAAGTAAGATCGAACCGAAGAAAGTGTTTGCTTAGAAGCATAGTTTATAGTGCGTCAAGAATTACTCTTTCCATCGCGACGACTTTCTTCTGCTCGGTATTACACGCGAATGTCGCGCATTTTAATAGTATAGTAGTTATTTGTGTAACAACTCGACATCTAACAAAGAAGAATTCGTTATTTTGAAAGTATTGGAGTATGATACTGGTCAAAATAATGCCTACAACGTTTTGAATTCGTGTCAGCAAACACGGTCCTCTTCGTGAGACACTTTGAGTAATTGCACGTCGCATCGAATTAGGTGAATTTACGGAGTCATCCGATGCGATGAGCCGAACTGATGCTCCAGGCAACGATGTGAGTTAATCGTAATTTCATCTGATCAAGCTTGATTAAACTTGCTTGTATTTGGTTGTGCTTAACGGTGCTTGTTTGTGATAAATTGAGCATGCACCGTGTAAACCTCGTACGATTCTGGGAGGAGTAAACCTTAATTTATCATTGCTTTTACGTGAAATGGAGGAATATCGAAGCAATACAAAAATATTGATTCTACATGTATTCTACCTCGTCCTGAATAATGAAAAATAGTAGTAGAAAGCTGTATTATGCATGTGATTCGAAGACCAAAAGACCACGTGCACAAGAAATCTCCAACCAACGTATAAATCTTCGTTCTACGTGTATTCGACATTATGCATGATGGGGAAAAAATAATAAAAGAAGAATTTATTGCGAATGTGACACGAAAACGGAAATATCGATTACATAGGAAAGAGAAAAAGAAATTTTAGATTCGAAGGAAACAAGTTACTTTTAACTTATGATTTATCTGAATATAATATTCAATAATCACCAAACCAGTTTCATATATTTATTTATTTTTCTTGTAAAGCAAAACCAATGCATATTAAGCACTAACGTAGCAACGTGGCAAATGATTCAAACATTTCTCGATTGTCTGCGTACATTCGAAGTCACGTCACTTAATTAAAAAAAATCATCTTTTGTGAGACGCGGTA